AGAAAATAAACAACTCCAAATCAATCCCACATACACATATTAATTAATCAAGGCGACCGAATTCGGCTACAATGCCATTTTCAAGCCTATAACAAGTTGAGTGAAAATTAACAAAGTTGGTAGTATTAACTAGACATATATACATACCTAAGATCTTAACTGGTTTCTAAAGGTGAAATACAAATTGTAGATACACTAAATCTACTATATAAAAATTAACTTAACATATGAGGTGCAAGAGGTACAGTTGATATTAATGAGTAATGTTTAGAGTGGGATTAAAAGTTACACGAAGTAAAATTTTTTTTAAAAATTACGAAAAATTAGTTAATAACTGTATGTGGGAAAAAGAAAAGAAAAAGTGGTAGAAGCCCCAGAGTGGGGTGATCAATTCTGAGTGATGGAGCGGCTTCCCCAAATTGGGCTTGGAGGAGACCGCGGAAAGGTATTGCTCTTGAATCGGAGGTGGAGCTAATAAAGAACTGATGGAATGGCCAAACTGGCTATTCCTATCAAAGACGTACAATCCAAAACTACACCAGTCATCCTGATGATCGGGAATGGTAGTGGATTCACCACCAGTACAAATTACACTGCCATCCAATCCTGCACCAAATGAAAGCAGCCCAACTAAGGGTGGCAAGATAAAGAATAGTTGGTAAAAATAGGAGGAAACCAGCAGACTCCTTTTGGAATTCCGCAGAAGCCACATCTGTGAAAGTGGATGATAACAGTTCTTACGAGCAACACTTTGTAAAAAACTAAATACGTAAGGCTGAACAAAAATGTCGCACCAAGCAAAGGATAATACGTAAAATGGCGGTTACACTAACATGGTCAAAGTGCGCATGTCAGTTTTGAAGTTGAATTTGAAATTAACAAATCGGAAAGGAATAATACAATTAAAAATTAAAAGTCAGTAAGATTGTGAATCTTACCGTTACAATTACTTATAATAAAGAATAACATCCTATTTGAAGATGGCCACATTTGAGAGGTTGGATTCCCTTCATAGCTTATATTATTATTAATTAGAATTGAGTATTTATATATGTGCAGCAGAACAAATATTATATCATTTTTTTCTCCAAAGTCATATATAATTAACAACTTTTATCCATCTACACTTACATCAGATTCATATTTCTATTTGAATTTTTAATTAAAACATCAAAAGTATTTTCGTATCTGCAGATTTCATAAAACGTCTGCCAAAGTTCATATTCTCCGTTATTTTATCACGTTGAGTCATTAGCTGGAAGCCGACTTGACAGTTGACTGGTAACATAAATTATTTCCAGTGAATCAGTTTTTTCATTAACCTTTAATGAATAATTCCGTGAATAGATACCTTCAACTATTAAACTTCGCAATCTTCATCATTTTCTGCTCGTAATTTATTTTAAAGTATGCTACGGAATTTAATGGGTGGTTCATTTTTTTTTTTCTGAATTTTTTGTTATAGCAGAAACAGAAGTTGGAAAGGCTTTTCGCAGTTCTCTCATTTCATACACAGAAATTGATGCGATACATTGGCTTACAAAATTATTTTATAATGTTATTAACAATTTTGTAGAATTATGATTTGGGATATTATAAAAATTGTTTAATAGTTATTTTTATTCCATAAATACATGCGATTGTCCGGTTCAGCCAGTAACAATTTAAAATTACTTGTTCTATGAAACACCACTGGCATATACACATTACCGCGAAATTCAGAAAGCGGTAAACAGAACATCTCGTGCCGTGTCGCCACTTGTTAAAATGTCTTGTCTCTTGGAAATAAACTTAACCTCAAACTTATTTGCTTGAGTAGGGTTTTTTCTGTGGGTGTTTTGTGGCTTGAGTTGAGAATTTAGATCTATTGCTCGGGGTATATTATTATTCGATTGCAGAAGCGTGCGGTCCATGGAAGCGGGGGAAGCACCGCTTTCCTAAACTTTGAGATTCAAAAATTAATATTTTTTAGTTTACAATGCATAAAAATTAATATTAAATTAGGTACTATATTTTCTCGGAAACATTACGTAAACTTTGTAAATGTACTAACAATTCATTGGTGTAATGTGTAAACGCACGCACCACCCATGAGAAAATGAATTGTGTAAACGCACACCATATACTTCATGTTATTGACCCTGCTTTGCCGCGACAGTAATTAGTCTGTTTGAACACGTAAAATACGGTCAAGAGGCAGCGATTTTTACGTCGCCTTACGCATATTGCAATTCGCACCGCGAATGGACGTGTGAGGAAAATCGTAGACTTCAGATTAGACCAGATCATACTGGCGCATTCGTTTGCAAAATTGTTTTAATTCGTATTTGTTTTTTTAAATGTCCGGAAGGCTTTCCTGATTATAAAAGTGTAAGATAACACTCGATATCTGTTGATGTTATTGTTTAAACAACGAAAAGTTAATTAAGCCAGAAAAATGCAGTTTTTGCAATGAATTAATTTTTTTATATTCTTTAGGATATTTCAAATAAAAAAGTCCTTACACCCATCATCGTATCTTTAACCCTTTGTTATGAATGTTTTAAAATCCGAAATTGACGAAAATTCTAATTTTCTTGAATTAACCCATTAACGCCCAGTGTACTCATTTAAGTACACCTACAATATCGCGATCGCAACGCCACACAACGCCGTATTTTGTAAATGTAACATAAAGTCATTGTTTACAAGTGTTATTTTACGACAACTGTAGTAGTCGTTTTCAAAAATTGTTATCCTGTTAAATCTGGCAGTATATATCAGTGCCGTGCTTCTACGTGTTGTTGATGAAATTAGAGGTGAGTTGACATTATACACTACAAGTTCATCAAATTTCTAGAGGCTTTCGATGGCTAGACAGGGAAAGCACTACTGACAGGCATCCCGACGGATTTACGCAATGAAAGTACACTCTGCGCATCAAGTATTTCACTATTTCATTCAGACGTAAATGTCAGATGTAAATTTCGCTAAAACATTTCTTTTATTTTCGTTTGTGTTTTTTGCTCATTACAGTTTAATAGAACCTAAGTATGGAGTTTAATAGCAAATTAAGAGGCCGCGTGATTAACAGTCAATCTCGCGAAATAATAGCCAATGTTATAGAGTTTATGAGAAGAGAAGGAAACTTTAATTCACCTTCAATACCATTTAAAAATGTAAATGATCGTGTTGCTGCAGCCACAGGAGTATCTAAAAACACTGTCGTCCGCATTTCTGGAGAGAAAAAAAGAATCGATAACCGTGAGATATCGGAATTTTCATCACCAAGAAAAACCATTAAAAACCAAAAACAGTTAATGATATAGATGAAGCTGCACAAGAATCAAATTTTATTTTTTTATTATTAGATAGCTATTTTTGTTTCTGAGTTGTGTTCATTTACAGGCTCAATTTTTTTCCGTTTCTCCTTTTTGATTTTATATGGGGTTTCAAGTTGTTTTTGACTTATTTCGACGTAAATCACAACAACACACTTTTTTAATAAAGCAAACAAGTGTTAAGAGATATATGTACGTGTAAACTACAATCACAAAAAATTGATATGAAACCCATGAAACCACCAACAAAAATGTAAAGCTAGCTTCCGTACTAGAACATGGTGTCATTCGTCGAGATAATTTATCGTTTTGTTTAATAGATCAAGAAATGTAAATATTCCCCTGTTATTTTTTATAAAATTATAAGAGAAATAAATTTTTTTCTAAATAGTATAGTTTATTATTTTGTAGAAAAACAAAATTTCGAAAATTTTAGTAATGTTTCAGAAACAACCGTTATTAATAATAGGTACCATTTTCCTTAATAAGGTAGAAATAAAATATAAACTATTTCCACGATTTACAAAGGCCTACAAAAAAATTATAGGTATTTTCCGCTATCCTATAAAATTTATATTTTCTGACTCAATTTCAAAAGGTTGAAGGAATTCCAAAACACCTTTTATGGCATAATAATTATTTTCAATTCTACATACTATCTTTAGCTGCTTTTAAAAACGTTCTAAGAAAGTCCAATCAGACCAATTTAATCCCTAAACTATTCCACACTTTTAAAATTTAATTACCTAAAAATATTAAAAACTATTTAAAATAACTTGTTTAGCAGACTGTACAATAGCTATCTTAGTCACACGTAGCGCGTTCTCTGTCTGGGCGTCGAACACCTCTAGAAATTTGATGAACTGTATGACCGACATTGTAAATAAGTGTTATAGGATAAATGTGTTAAAAACACATACTTTGATTACTATACGAGGCAAGAGAGAGGTCCGACACGCCCAACATAGGGCGCGGCCATTTTGAACCCTGTGACACAGTTTACAGCTAAAGAATCAGATCGCTCACTCTGCGTCGGCACTTTGGATCTCAATGTTTCAGTTTATACACTGTGCAACTCGGATAATACAATATATGACAACCGCCTATAATAAAACAGCAGTCTTCTGCGTATCCTGAATTTGTATCCCTGGAGTGGATGTTATTTTGGAACTTTCAACTGGTCCGAGTGAGCTAACTGATTCTTTAGCAATAAACTGTGACTTCAAAAATAATATTCACTGACACTGACAGCAGCAAGCAAAATATCAGGTGCGTTTTAATCATCCGCTTCTGCTTCCGGAATTGTCGGTTTAGTCGTTTTAACCTGTCAGATTAAAACAAGAAAACCGACAATTCCGAAGCAGAAGCGGATGATTAAAACGCACCTATTAAAAATATTGCGCCAAGATGTAGGCAACACGTAATAAGGGTTCAAAATGGCGGAGTTTTCTATCTCCTTTTAAAAGGCACTCAGAAAGCTGCGCAGTGCGACCATTCTCCGTATAGTAAAAGAAAATAAATCAAAGTATGTGGTTAAAAATGTTTTATAGGTTATGTGTCAACATTATGATCATATGTAAATAGTTCTACGATATTAGGTTTGTTTGTTATTCTGATGTAAATCTCGGCGTACTCGTTTGAGTACATTGGGCACATGAGTACACTGGATATTTTTTCCAGGAACATTTTACAATGGACATCAACGAAATTCCAACTAGCTCTTTTTATGGTAAAAGATTCAAAACCTTAGCTTCTGCAGTTGATGCTGTTGAACAGGCAAATATTGGTAATTCAGAACTTGATGTCGTTATAATTCCACCAGAAGTGGATTATCAAACGGACGAGGAAGAATTCGATGAAGACGATTTATTAGTTGCAAACCTACCAGAAGATATTCCACAGGTGAGGTGGAAATTGACCTCAATGGGATTGATTTTGAAGAAGAAGAAGACGACTTGTCACTGACGGATCTTCAAATTATACAACCAGACAATACGATTGAAAATTTGGATAGGTCTCAGGATCGAATCCCACCGGTGGCAGGAATTTTTATTTAATTAAAAAATTAAATATTAATTCTAATGCATAGGTAGGATTCCCCACTCGACCATTCACTGTTGGGTTCTAATTAACAGTGCTGTTTCTAAAGTGGCGCTGGGAAACAGTAACAAAGCCTACACAGAACACGAGGCTAATGGCCATAGTAGTCGACGCCGATGACACCAAATTAAAAAAAAAAAAAAAAAAAAAAAAAAAAAAAAAATACCCCACTGTTAGAGAGATGGCATTTTCTAAAGGGGAACCCTAATTGGACGCAAATACCTACGGTATTAGAGTTGCCTAGCACAGATGGAGCTGATTATCGGTTAGAACAACTTCGCCATGATCTAAGAGGGCTACATGCTGTAGATATTTTCGAAAAACTATTTGATGACAAAGTTTTCCAACATATTGTCGATCAAACCAATATTTATGCGGCATCTAAAAACAATAATAACTTGGTAACAACTAAAGAAAAGTTAAAAATGTTTGTTGGTGTGCTTCACTTCTCTGGGTACCATAAATTACCTCGTGAGCGCCTTTATTGGAATCTTAATGAGGATGTTGGAGTTTCTTTTATTTCGAATGCAATTAGTCGAAACAGATTTACAGAAATAAAAAAACATTTACATTTAGCAGATAACAGAATACTTGATAGTGAGGACAAAATGTACAAGATTCGATCACTTATGAACATTCTGAATTTAAAGTTTCAACAACGGGGAATTTTTCGCAAATTCTTGTCTATAGACGAAGCTATGGTTAAATACTATGGTCATCACTCTGCGAAGCAATTTATATGAGGTAAACCTGTTCGTTTCGGGTACAAAGACTGGATTTTATGTAGCTCGGATGGATATTGCTATTCATTCGATACATATTGTGGAGCTAAACCGTCATCTAGTCAAGTACCAACTAAAATTAAAACCACGCTTCCACTAGGTTCACGAGTGGTTCTTGATTTTGTTAAAGTAATTGATACCCCAAGTGATCATGTCCTATTTTTCGACAATTATTTTGCAAGCCATGATCTTTTAAATACACTTCGAAAGCATGGAATACGAGCTACTGGTACTGTACGGGATAATCGTACAAAAAAATGTCCTCTTGTACCTGCCAAGAAAATAAAAACAAAAGATTGTGGATTCTTTGATTTTCAATACGATAAAAGAAACCATCTTCTATTTGTTAGATGGAATGATAATAGTGCAGTAACGATGGTTACAAACTATGATTCAGTCGAACCTTTAGCACAAGTCAAGAGATGGTCTTCGAAAAGAAAAGAGAAAATTTCAGTACCCCAACCGCAACTTTTTAAAAACTATAACCACCGTATGGGCGGTGTTGATCTGTTAGATCAAGGGGTCAATAATTATAGAATTGCTGTCCACGGTAAAAAATGGTGGTGGGTTCTCTTTACTCACTTGATAAACGTAACTATTGTAAATGCCTGGAGATTACATAAAATTATTTACCCCAATCACAAAGTGGATCTTTTGCAATTTGTTAGAAGTATTACTCGTCACTATCTACGCTCCTCTAATAAGGCTGTACAAAGAAGATCTGTATCTAGTAGGCCTTCTGGTTCATTACCAAGAAGTATATTGAAAGATCCGGTTGGACATTTCCCCAAAAAAATTGAGAACCAGCTCAGATGTCGTCAATGTCATATGAGGGCTAGATGGATATGTGAAAAATGTAATGTGACTCTGTGCATTGAACGAGAGTGTTTCAAAATATTTCATTTGTAGTTGTTGCTTTAACTTTACAGTATTATATTAATTAACATACAAAATACTAAATATAAAGTAAAGTATTTTTGGTAAAACTTATTATCCCATTGTACTCATTTGGGTACACACATTTTTTAAAAAGTATAAAAGAAAAAAACATTTTTTATTGTAAGTACAAGTATGATGAGGATATTTTTAGTTAAAAAAAAACCTGATTTGATTTTTTTTCTGATAGGGCGCTGGTGGGCACTAATGGGTTAAATAATATACCTTAAAATTTAAAATGCTATAATTTTAGATTTTTTACCGAATATTCAAACTATAATAAACAAAATTACCTAAATAAATTTTCAAAATTTTGTTTGTTATGTTTTTTTTTGTTATAACAATATGCTTCCTACGCGCGTGTACTTTTAGAGAGAAGTACTTCTATCTCACTTCCAACTCAATGTATAAGATGGGTAAGAGAAAGCGGTGACGCGCTAAATCAATTTTTTGCTGTTTTTGAGCGGTAATAAGTTTAAAAAAAATTATTATTTACATTTTTCATAACACTTTGTTATATTTGCCGATTAATAGTTTTGTATCATGTGATTTTTTTTTTACTTTTTTAGATACTTTCGATAACTTTTTTATTCATTAAAGTTAATATAAATGTTCCATCCAAAAAAAAAATCATTGCCAAGAGTTGTCTACAAAATAAATTTTTCTCACTTTTTTCCAATAAGATAAAAGAAGACCTGCCGTAATTCAAAAGAAATTTCTACCTGTTGCGATGAGCATAGTTGACTCACCTGGTTTTTATTTTAAAACAGAGTACGCAATATATATGTATTCAATTTTTTCTATGGTTGTTAATTCTTTTCCACTATGATTATTTAATAGTAATATTCATTTATTAAGAAAAATTTTACATAAAATTATAGTTTGTACAGATGGACCAACATAGCTTTGCCTCTGAGATGCGCAAACGATAAACAGAGAGGGTTAATATGCGACAAAGACCGACTTCGACCTTTCACCGGGACATTAATTACCTCTCGCCCCACTCCGCCGACCAGTCTACTGCGCATCCAATTCTTGGAGGCAAAGCTATGTTGGTCGATCTGTACATCTAACTAGTTTTTACATGAAATTGGCAACATTCAATTAAACATCCGCATAATGCCACACACGTAATGTTTAGTTTTTGACACGAACAAGCTTTCGTTGCACAATTTTTTTTACAGTTGCACGGTTTTGCTTAGTCTTCGGGTAATAGCGATTTTGTTAAATACAGTGGCTTTATTTGATTATCACAGAAAACATAACCAAAACCAGAGAAGTCTAAAGGTTCATATTGAAATTGATTTGAATTCCTCCAAATATAAGTCTGAAACGAAGCTCATAAAGTATGCAATTTCAAAGCATCCGACGTGCAAGGAATAGCTGTTTGTATTACTAGGGAGGAAAGTGCCACACAATTATCCAAGGGAGGAAAAGGCACTTTACTCCCAAGTAATACATATGTTTTTTCGCCTCCCTCAAATAACAAGTCATTTTTAAATAATTTATTTATGAAACTAATAAACAAAATTTATTAAAGAACTCAAATTATGAAGTAGGTATAGTATAAATTATAGGCATGTTATTTTCATTCTTGCATCCTACATATTTTTAATTTGTGGTAGAGTAATTATTTTTCTGAGTAAGTACGAATATGCTTCTCTTCGGCCCATTGCTTGAAATGTAAATACTGTTTTTCGTATTTTTCTTTAGATTTTTGGGGTAATAGAGATTGAACTGTTGCATTAACCTGTTCCAAAATATCCGGTGGTGTATTATTTATATCTTTAAATTCGCTTGAATCACTTATTTTTTAAATATTATTTTATATTTTGTAGATATATTATAGCGTAACACACTTTAAAACTGATCTGTCAATCGACCATAGCATGCTATAATATTTCTGTCCTAAATTCGAAAATCGGATGAATCTATGAATTGAAGTCAAATTATTAATGTAAAAATCATTAAATTAAAATAACAATTTACTGATTTTTACTATTTTGCAAAATACAGAGTGTTCTATAAATAAACGGTAAAATTCATACTTATATAATAGAATATAGTTTAGGTCGTCAATGCCGTATAAACTATTTCATTTATGACATACCATGACTTTGATCCCTGCAATGAGGTTAGGAAATGTATACTTTGAATAGAGGTAGGCGGAAAAAAAATTTTTTTTCCTTATTTTTGTTATATATAGAAAGGCTTGGATATTTTTGAAATCATAAAATTTTATAACCCCAGTAAGCCTACTATGTTCATTGTAACAGGTAGAAATTTTTCACGGATCACGACAAGTGCATTTGGCCTTTTTATCGTACTGAAAAAAAAAGGTTGAAGAAGATTTTACTTCTCAGGCAGTATCTGACAATAATTTTTTCATGAATAAAAATAAATGTTTCTGTTAACTTTAATAAATAAAAAAGTTATCAAAAGTATCTAAAAAAGTAAAAAAAATCATATGATACAAAACTATTAATCGACAAATATAACAAAGTGTTATGAAAAATGTTAATAATAATTTTTTTAAACCTATTACCTCTGAAAAACAGAAAAAAATTGATTCAGCGCGTCATCGGGCTTTCTTCCATCTTATACCTGAGTTGGAAGTGAGATAGAAGTACTTCTCTCTAAAAGTACACGCGCTTAAAAAAAAAAACATAACAAACCAAATTTTGAAAATTTATTTAGGTTATTTTGAATATTATAGTTTAAATATTTGGTAAAAAATTTAAAATTATAGCATTTTAAATTTTAAGGTATATTATTTAATTCAAGAAAATTAGAATTTTCGTCAATTTTGGGTTTTAAAAAATTCATAACAATTAAAGGGTTAAAGATACGATGATGGGCGTAAGGACTTTTTTTATTCGAAATATCCTAAAGAATATAAAAAAAATTAATTCATTGCAAAAAAATGAATTTTTTCTGGCTTAATTAATTTTTCGTTGTTTAAACAATAACATCAACAAATATCGAGTGTCATCTTACACTTTTATAATCAGAAAAGCCTTCCGGACATTCTAAAAAAAAATTACGAATCAAAACAATTTTGCAAACGAATGCGCCACTATGCCCTGCACTAGACAGATTTCGGTTTGTTTTTCGTAGTTGTTTTTCTTTTTGTAAAATGGAGGAACTATGCACTGTGCCTGTGAGCAATAATAATGTGGTAAATTGTGTCTGTATTGTGTGCTCTTTATTGAAAAAAGGATTTCAAGTAGAAATTTTGAAGAGAAAACGGACATTATTAATTCAAGTAGACTAAAGGATCATATCAATTTAGAGACGAAAATAGGAAAGTCAGCAAAAAATTTACCAGGCATTTTCACGTAAGGTTCTATGGAAAGTATGAATGGTTAACTGGCTGCAAAACTTTGAAGAAATTATTTTGCTGGCCTTGCCTACTTTTTAATATAGCCGAAAAAACACATTGGAACTCAGTCGGTATTACAGACTTGAATAATTTTCACAAAAGTGTAAAACGACATGTAAATAGCAAATCTCAAATAACTGCTACAATTAAAGAAAAAACATTCGGGACCTATCGCATTGAACATAGTTTGGACAATCATTTAAAAATAAGCAACAAAATTCACAATGAAAGGGTAAAAAAAATAGAGACATCTTACAACATATAATAGATATAACTTGTTTCCTGGGAGAGCATAAACTAAGTTTTAGGGGTCACAATGAAGCAACTGGATCCGACAATCGAGGAAATTACATGGACCTTCTAAGTTTTTTTAGCAAAATACGATGATACCCTAAAAAATCATTTCATTAATTCGACGACTTTCTGAGGTACCTCAAGCAGAATCCAAAATGATTTAATTAAATGCATTTCCGACGTTGTGATGCAATTAAAAAAGCACCTTTCCTATCAATTGCGCTTGATAAAACCACAGATGTAGCAAACTTAAGTCAATTATTCATTGTTGTGCGATATGTATTGGATGGCATTCCTCAAGAGCGATTCTTAGGATTTTTGGACGTCACTAGCAAACGAACTGCAGATGCATTGTTTAAAATTGTTTGTGACATTATTTCAATTTAGAATGTGGTTTTAAGCTTGTTGCCCAGAACTACGATGGTGCTGCCGTAATGGCTGGTCATTTAGGAAGCCTTCAAGCTAAAGTGAAAGAGAAGTTTAAAAATTCAATTTTCGTTCACTGTATAGTACATAGACTTAATTTGGTTTTATCGCGAAGCATGGATAATATTAAAGATTGCAAAGTTTTCTTTTCGACGATTAGTGGTATGGCTTCCTTCTTTTTAAAGTCATCGAAAAGAACTCGCGCTTTGGATATTCACGTTTAAAAAAGGTTTCCAAAAGTTGCTCCGATGGAACTACAATGGACGTTTAGTGCAAACAGTGTTTCAATAGGTTTGTTCCAACAACAATCTTGGAACCATACACAAACCAGTCCACAACTTATTGTTGATGACTGATACTCGACGGCTAGTCCACGACATGTCGAGGATTGGGACTGAATTCGGAACTTGGTTGTGTTGGAACACATAATTTCTTTTGTCAGACACACTCTGTGAACAATGTTAAAGTAAAAGAAATAACAGATATTCAATTTTGAATTTGGTAAATGAAAAAATTATAAAACTCATTAAACTTTACTTATTATTTTAATTTTTTATTGTATCTAAGTCAGAATAATAGTACTTTTCACTTTCTTCACTTAATACTCATCTCGTTATTAATAAGTAAACAGATACACGTATAAAATAATGTACTATAAATAATGATAATGAATAAAAATCAAATTGCGATAGAGACTACGATCGATGCCATCAAAACGAATATATTCACCACATTTCCACAGTTAGTCGTGATTTATTTACGAGCTTATTTTCGTTTTGCGCATGTCTTGCCAATTCGTTCCTATTCAGACCCAGGAACTGATTTGACAGTACAGAAACTGGTTTGCGATTAGGTTTGGGTGTGTTGGAACACTAGGTTTTTGTACAGTTTTGAGTTCGAGGTTTGTTGGAACACCAAATCTAGATTGCGCAGAATCCCGTGATTTTTTGATACATTTTTTTCAAGACGTTTGGGATAATAAAGAAACATGGGATGCTGAAACTGTTATTGCCGCTAAAGGGTATTTGCATTGGCTCAAACAAAACTTTGATTTCAATATTTTGCTCAACATTTTTACCGAGATTTTCCCTTTTACTGACTTTTATTCGACATTTTACAGACAAAGTCAAATGACATTGGCTTTTGCATTAAACAAATGGATGATTTTAAAAATAAAATGAATGAAAAACGAGATCAGTTTGAACACTTCTGGAATAAGACTCAAAACATTGGCTTAGAACCTGAAAAAAAGAGAATTATAATTGATAATGTCGGCGACAGAGAGACCTCCTATCGTCGATTATACGCCGAAAGTTTTAATAATATTTTACAACAAATGAACTCTCGATTTCAAAACTTTAACGAATTAAAGTTGGTTGAATTGTGCAATTTTAATATTAGTAAGTACGATTTATCAAAATTTCCATCGGAAGCTTTTAATTCACTAAAATTAAATTATTGATTTTTTTTCGATATTCCAGCATTAAAGTCCCAGTTAAGTGTTGTTTATGAAACAACTGAAATTAGTGACAAAAAGACGCCCATCAATGTGTTAAATTTTCTTATAACAACTGGTTTAAATAAGTCCCTTTGTGAAGTCGTTAAGTTGTGTGAATTATTACTAACCATCCCAGCCACAAGTGCGTCAGTTGAGCGAAGTTTTTCAGCCTTAAAGCGCATTAAAAGTTTCATACGAAATTCAATAAGTGAAGACAGGCTCCGCTCTCTAATTTAGCCCTTATATCCATTAAAAAACAGCTTGTTAAACAGTTATCAAAAAATCCAAAATTTTACGACGATGTTATAGACAAATTTGCAGCCATTGTGGATAGGCGAATAGATCTTAAGTATAAATAAATGTCAACTGATGTGTCAACTGTGCGAAAAATGCTGGAAAAAATAAAAAAAACTCCAGTTAAATATTTCTTTCTACGTTTAAATAAACCAAGGAAGCTGTTTAATGGTAAGTTTTTTATAGCTTCTAGTACTAAACTAGGTAATAAAGTAATAGTAACACTTCAAAAATCTCAATCTCGAATATCTGTAGTACTGAGGAAAAAGCAAGATTTTAATAAAATGGTGAATGTGCCGCGAAAAATTTTCGTCTACGGCGCTGTGCTTACTGGCCTGCTGTATTTTTAGACAATCGCTTCCCCTTCCAAAAATGTTACTGCACGCCACTGTTTGATTGTATTTCAAGAAAAAAAAATGGGTGTGTTTTGTTTTGAATGCGAAAAAGTATTCTCCAGCCAGTCAACTTTTAATCGGTACAATATCGTCAAAATATCCTTTATAGGGCACTGCATAATAATTAATTAAATTTAATATTGTGTAATTATCGCAATGCAACTGCTAGTGCTAGTGAACATTTCATTGATTGGGGTGTTCTAGAGCACAACTCAATGATAATATTGTATACCCAGTTAGTAAAGTGACTGTTTTCCAGATCGAGTAAAGATATGGAAAGGCGAGGCGGAGCCGAGCCTGAACACGGTGAGGCCTGGAAACCCACTTTAGAAAGGCTAAATCAATGAGCCACACGTCTGTGCATGTCCCATTATAAGTGACGTCACGGCTCGAGATGTTCTGTTTACCGCCTTCTTGAAATTCTCGAAGTAGTCCGATGTCGGTTGACGTGTACCCCCTCTCTACCTACCAAACAAGGGCGGACTTACGGGGGGTACTAGGGGTAATTACCCGCATGATTATAATTTATAAAAAAAACTTATAAAACTTATAAAAAGATAGGCTGATTTTGTAGTCTGCCCTTCTAAGCCAAAAAGCGGTATCTCAAAAAAATACATTTTTTTATTTTTTAACGCATAAGATAGCTTGAAAACAATAAAAAAAAGTCAAATTCACGTATCTCAACTTCACTTGTATTTACTAAAATGGTTAGGTGTATGACATTAACACTAAGCCAAAATGACTGAATATCCATGTACGACACAAGAAATTCAAAAACAAAGAATAATTTAAAGTAATCCAGCAGTACCTAAATTATTTTTTCGACTTGAAGGAACGCAAAAACAACTTTTAGAAAATTTGCTTTCTCTGGAAACTCGCTTCAACTGAAATACTCTTTTTGAAGGGTAAGGTAGGTTATGTTCTAAGGTTACGTTAAATATATTTTAACGGTAATTTAATTTAAAATTTTATTGGTTTCTTGTTCCTCTTTTACATCGATAATAAGGAAGTTGTAGAGCATTTTAAATTTTAATTTTTTTTTACAAAAGCCACAGACGAGAGTCAAAGCCAATTAACGCTTCTAGAATGTAATCAGGAAAACAAAGAACAAGAAATAAGATTAAAAAAGCAATTAATAAAAATGCAACATATAGATTGACTCATCCAACAAGCAGATCATGAAATATTAGAAGCTAAACTAACATTCAGAAGTTGACTTATAACAAACATCGATAGATTATGGGAAAGTATTCAGGAATTACATGAAAATATCGTGATCTATGAAGCAACCAACCAACCAACCAACCAACCAACCAAGACGAGTATTTCAAAATTGATTTATTTCTAAAAACTGAAATAAAGGTTAGTAACACCCATTGGTGTCATTTGGGGGGGCAGTGGCTTTTATGACTTATTCAACAATGCGTAAGATATGCATTACGAATTACGAACAACAATCTCATAAAATTAGGTTGAATATATTTATTGTATATCTGGATTCCCTTACGTCGCTTATATCACGCTTTTCCGAAGACTCTGTTAGTTTTTCCTTAAGCCTGTTACATCCCAAAAACATAAAAAAATACTTGTTCTACGAACTCTTACAAAAAGACATCTTTCGCCACAGGATACTTTCAGCGAAAACTTGATTTCCGTCACTAGTGTGAAAAAATCCCATAACGTTTACTTTCATCTCTAGTGACGAAAGTAAGTTGTTACATATTTTCATACATCAGTCGCCTCGTATAATATTTTGGCAGCTTATAATTATTAATAATGAAATAAAAAGATGCTCATTAAATTCTATATGCGTTTTTACCTAAACTTTAATGAATTAAAGAAAAAATAAAAATGTATAAAAATAGTGCAAATTAAAACAATCTACATCTAGTTTCCTGGTTTTCATTTGTTTATTTGAAGTTTTATCACTTTTGAGAACTGTCAGTTTCAGTTCGTCCTAAATTTAACACATTTTCATTATGTCTGAGTCAGAAAGCGATTGTACTCCCCCAGAAATTATTTTTAAAGCTGAAGAAACCTCTTCAGATTTATTACCGGCCAAATCAAAAAAGAGATATGAAGAAATTTATATCAAATTTTTGGACTGGAGAGAAAAAAATAAAGTGAAATCATTTTCGGAAACTGTACTACTAGCATACTTTGGAGAAATATGTTCAAATTTTAAACCGTCGACGTTATGGTCCATTTATTCGATGCTAAGAACTACACTCTCTGTTAAAAATGATGTCGATATTAGTAAATATCCAAAGTTACGTTCGCTTTTGAAAAGAAAATCTGATGGTTTTAAAAGCCAAAAATCCAAAAAAAATTCGCCTGAAGACATAAAGACTTTCCTAAAGAATGCACCTGACTATAAATATTTAATAACAAAGGTAACGGAATTATTATTTTTATTTTAACAAATACTTAATACATAACTACTAATATTTGTAGGTAGCATTAGTTTTTGGATTATCTGGCGCTTGTCGTTGCCACGACTAAAAGATTTAACAATAAGCGATGTAAAGGATACTGAAAATATTCTGTTAGTTAAAATCCGTAATACAAAAACAAAAGTTCCGCGTTCTTTTCATATTTCTGGACCCTTTTATGATATTTCTAAAAAATATATGAGCCTACGTCCCGCAAACAAGGATCAAATTAATTCAAGATTCTTTATTAACTATCAGAATGGAAAGTGTAGCAGACAGGTTGTTGGAATTAATAAAATCAGTAAATTTCCTAACGAAATTGCTCAGTTTTTAACGCTTCCGAATCCTCAAGATTACACTGGGCACTGTTTCCGCAGAACATCCGCAACGCTATTAGTGGATGCAGGAGGTGACTTGCTTCTGTTAAAAAAGCACGGTGGTTGGAAATCTAGTAGTGTTGCGGAAGGATATGTTGATCAATCCACGAACAGTAAAAACCAAATACAAACCAAAATTTTACAATCTGTACAAAATAAGGAAACTACTAGTTCATCCGATTATGGCGCATCATCATCTGAAATGACATTTAACAGTAGAACAAATATGTCGGCATCTACCTCAATAAATAAAAAGCTTGAGTGTGATACCCCCATAATTTTGAACAATTGTTCAAATATACCAATAAATCAATATTTAAATAATAAATAATATTTCTGAAATATTTAATTGTTGGTTAATTTTTTGTTATTCCTAACACAAAATAAAGCATTTGCTAACGTTTGTTTTTTTTTTCATTTTAGTAGGTACCTACATGACATAATAGAGTTCGTAGAAAAAGTATAGTGTTTTACTCGTCGAAAATCATTTTTTCGTCACTCGTGAAACAATATACTATTTTTCACTACCGATTAGAAAATGAAAGTAGTGGAAAAATTTGGAATCGACAATTTTGAAGCTGAATACCAAACTGGAGTACAAAAGAGCTTTCTGCATACAATGAGCTCTCCATTAATGATATAGCGACCAAACATTGTGAATTTTATCCAGACATACAAAGTGATTTAAAAAATATTTATGGCTCTTCCACCAACGACAGAGTTAATCGAAGTAACGTTTAGCACGCTAAGGCATGTAAGAACATGGCTGCGGTCTATTCGATCAGTGCGAAGTTATGGTAGGGGAAGCAAAAGCGATACTAGCGCAAGCTGCGGATAATTTGAATACTTTAGGGCGATATTTTGTAATTTTGGCGTATCAAATACACGTAAATATTTTACTTTTTACTAAATAAATAGGTTAAAAACAATAAAATGAGCAACCGGAGTTGCTATGTTACAAATTATACTAGCAAAAAAACTGTAAATTATATAAATTTTCAGTTGCAAAATCGAAATTAAATCAAAAGAAATAAATGTATAACTGTATAAGAAGAAGAAAAAAATACCAGTGGCACTCGGAAACTGCCGCGGTAAAGCTATTGCATAGCATTTTTTTATCAACTTATGCAATTATAATTATTTATTTATTTTATTTATGCAGTATTTTTTTTTCTTTAATATTAATTCAAGTTTTTTCTTTGATATTAATTTAAGTTACACTTTTTGAGCGTGGTGACCGATAAGAAAACAATATTTTTTCTTTTATTGAATAAATGAGAAGTTAATATTGTTTAAAATATTTTTATTATCTTACAATACATGTAGGTTATTCAGAAATTTTTATCATTGAAACTATAGGTTTATGGTAACTGAAATAAGAAACATAAGTTTGAGACTTGATATCCTCAAAATATCTGGAAAATACCGCGTCAATGGTGGTCCCATATTTTGTTGTGGATTCTTGTGGATCATTATTCATTTTCAAATTCAATTTTTCCGAAATTGTGTCTAAAATAGATAGAATCAGTTATGAGCAGTTAGCAGCTTCGATTTTTCGAGTTTTCGATTTTTCAATTTTTTGATTTTTCGATTTTTCGATTTTTCGATTTTTCGATTTTTCGATTTTTCGATTTTTCGGTTTTTCGGTTTTTCGATTTTTCGATTTTTCGATTTTTCGATTTTTCAATTTTTCGATTTTTCGATTTTTCGATTTTTCGATTTTTCGATTTTTCGATTTTTCGATTTTTCGATTTTTCGATTTTTCGATTTTTCGATTTTTCGTTTTTTTTTGATTTTTCGATTTTTCGATTTTTCGATTTTTCGATTTTTCGATTTTTCGATTTTTCGATTTTTCGATTTTTCGATTTTTCGATTTTTCGATTTTTCGATTTTTCGATTTTTCGATTTTTCGATTTTTCGATTTTTCGATTTTTCGATTTTTCGATTTTTCGATTTTTCGATTTTTCGATTTTTCGATTTTTCGATTTTTCGATTTTTCGATTTTTCGATTTTTCGATTTTTCGATTTTTCGATTTTTCGATTTTTCGATTTTTCGATTTTTCGATTTTTCGATTTTTCGATTTTTCGATTTTTCGATTTTTCGATTTTTCGATTTTTCGATTTTTCGATTTTTCGATTTTTCGATTTTTCGATTTTTCGATTTTTCGATTTTTCGATTTTTCGATTTTTCGATTTTTCGATTTTTCGATTTTTCGATTTTTCGATTTTTCGATTTTTCGATTTTTCGATTTTTCGATTTTTCGATTTTTCGATTTTTCGATTTTTCGATTTTTCGATTTTTCGATTTTTCGATTTTTCGATTTTTCGATTTTTCGATTTTTCGATTTTTCGATTTTTCGTTTTTTTGATTTTTCGATTTTTCGATTTTTCGATTTTTCGATTTTTCGATTTTTCGATTTTTCGATTTTTCGATTTTTCGATTTTTCGATTTTTCGATTTTTCGATTTTTCGATTTTTCAATTTTTCGATTTTTCGATTTTTCGATTTTTCGATTTTTCGATTTTTCGATTTTTCGATTTTTCGATTTTTCGATTTTTCGATTTTTCGATTTTTCGATTTTTCGATTTTTCGATTTTTCGATTTTTCGATTTTTCGATTTTTCGATTTTTCGATTTTTCGATTTTTCGATTTTTCGATTTTTCGATTTTTCGTTTTTTTTTGATTTTTCGATTTTTCGATTTTTCGATTTTTCGATTTTTCGATTTTTCGATTTTTCGATTTTTCGATTTTTCGATTTTTCGATTTTTCGATTTTTCGATTTTTCGATTTTTCGATTTTTCGATTTTTCGATTTTTCGATTTTTCGATTTTTCGATTTTTCGATTTTTCGATTTTTCGATTTTTCGATTTTTCGATTTTTCGATTTTTCGATTTTTCGATTTTTCGATTTTTCGATTTTTCGTTTTTTTGATTTTTCGATTTTTCGATTTTTCGATTTTTCGATTTTTCGATTTTTCGATTTTTCGATTTTTCGATTTTTCGATTTTTCGATTTTTCGATTTTTCGATTTTTCGATTTTTCGATTTTTCGTTTTTTTGATTTTTTGATTTTTCGATTTTTCGATTTTTCGATTTTTCGATTTTTCGATTTTTCGATTTTTCGATTTTTCGATTTTTCGATTTTTCGATTTTTCGATTTTTCGATTTTTCGATTTTTCGATTTTTCGATTTTTCGATTTTTCGATTTTTCGATTTTTCGATTTTTCGATTTTTCGATTTTTCGATTTTTCGATTTTTCGATTTTTCGACTTTTTTTTATTAAATAAATTAAAAGTTAATATTGTTTCGTTACGGAATTTCTTGATTCGGTCGCCGCACTCAAAGCCCGCGATAAACGCCATGCAATAACTTAAAAACCTTTATTTTGTAATAATAACAGTAATACTGGAAATAGTAGACATCAGAAAATTGAAAGGTTTGAAATAAACAATAAATTATTATTTTACAATGTTGTTCAACATCCCTTAACTCTTAAATGTTCAGCAAAGATTATATTACTGCCTTTGATTATTGTATGTGGCTGAAATGCAATCTTGTGACTTATTGATAGGAAACCAATTTTAATCATTAATTATCAATATAAATAATTAGTTTACTCTCAATATTTATGTTAAGTTTACTATTGATCATCGCGTTTCCGCAGCTTCTATGATGTATCTATACATTTCCGTATTTTTTTGCACTACTTCCTAATAAATCAACATCATCTGTATAACCCAGTATTTGACGACGTGTATTAAATTCTCCCGGATTAATGGCATTTCCCGCAGTATATTTTCCATTTAGAAAATTAAGGGCAATAAGCTTGATTAATATAAAAAGCAGATTATATCATAATTAAAGGCACTCATAATTTTCTTTTAATACATGTGCTGAATTTTGAAAAAAAATCCACATTAGATTTAAAGCATGCATAATAATATATCCCTATACACAAGAACTTCTGGCCGCATTAGAGTGTGTAGTCGTATAAACAGTGCTCCTCAAAAATAATAAAATTAAGTGTTGTTTTCAAGTTAATAAAATAAAAATTGTGTCTTAGGATATCAGGAAGTCAAATATTCTGAACCTAGGAAGATACCAGAGAGAAAACTGTATGTACTTAAATAATATTAACATAATTATTATATTTTCACTTTCAAACAAGCTACTGTTTATAAATCAGCTGATAAGATATACGACGAAAAAGTTGAAACGTTTCGGATTAAAAGATATGTCTTAAAGGTGACCACGTACTATAAAATTTAAATTGAATTTAAAATATAAACGGACACATAAATCACTTATCCGAGAATGGAAAATCAATTGTCGTTGCAGGATATATTAGATGAAATTTAAAGAAGTAAAAACGAAGCCAGTAAGACTAGACTTCGTCTTGAAATAGAGGGGCAAAATAATAAAATCAAACAATTAACAAAAGAAAACATTTTATTAAAGGAGAAGATAGAAATATTAGATTCAACAAATAGAAAAAATAATATTATTGTCTTTGGCTTAAATAAATCACCACAGGACGTTACAGCACAACTATTTTGCTAAGAGTTGAAACAACTTATTGAAGTTGATCTAAACGAAAAAGAAATTAATAATATATACTGTCTAGGCAAATTATTTAATGCTCCCATTAAAGTTGAATTAACAACATTTTTGCAAAAAAGAACTATTTTTAAAAATTGTTATAAATTAAAAGGACTGAACGTCAGTAATTTAAACGATCTTGCACCGAACCAGAGAGAAGAACAAAAAATCTTAAGATACTACCAAAGAATAGAAAGAGAAAAAAATAATAATTCCAGGTGTTATATAAAAAACAATAAACTAATTATTGATAATAACGAGTACACTATTGACGAACTGGCAGAATTAGAACATCGGGAAATGGAAATAAGAAAAGCATCCAGTGCCCCAAGTACTCCTTCTCAGACTCTCATAAGTACAGAAGAAACAGAAGGTAATGATGATCAACAATTATTGGAGAAAGAAGAAAGAAATAAAAAAACGGAAAACTTCAGTACTAAAGTTAAACAAGATCAAAAACCAGATAGTACTCCAAAGCCAAATCCTACGAAACCCAATCTTGCAAATAAGCTAAACAATCGAAATAATCAAAACAGGAACCTTTGTTCAGGATCGACATTTTCACAGAATTCAAAAGCTTCAAAGTAGCAAGAAAATCAATTATTTTTTAAATTAACAATTTTTAGCAATAAGGTCAGTGGAATTATATAATAGGTCTATATTTTGTGTTTTTAACTAATAGGAATTATTTTTCAAAAGCTTTTAAACAAATATTTATTCAAATTTTTTTTTTATTCTAATCTGTTATCTGTTGATTATCTATTACATTATTATTATTATGGATCCCTATATAAGAGATGTAAATTTTGAATCTTTCAATACTCTAGAAATAGATTGCTTGAATGACCTAAATAATTTAAATGAAAGTCTACCAAAAGAATAAAGTTTTTCATCAGAATATATGCAGTCTTAATAAAAATTTAGATAACTTAAAAATCCATCTTAGTCAATTAACATTTACTTATGATTGCCTAATTTTGTCGGAAACCTTAAACATTTTAGATGTAAATTTATTTCAATTAGGAGGGTACAAAATAATATACAATGGAGGTGATATAAACCGAAACGATGGTGTTGTGGTTTTTATTAAAGATAATATAAGTTATACACAACAAATCATTTCTATAGGACCTTGTAAAGTTATACAATTGAATATAAAATTAAAAGATCATAAGCACTTATTGTTAACTGCAGTTTACAAGCCACCTCCAATCAATCAGGATGAGTTTATTGAGCTTTTAGGAAATTACCTAGAAGAAACTTCAAAACAAGCAAAAATTGATGATCATATAATAATAGGAGATATAAATATAAATATAAGAAATATAAATAATTCAGTTTCTAGTTATTTAGACGTTTTAGCAGAATATAATTTTATCTCACTCATTAACAAATATACAAGAATTCAAGGTAATTCTAAGAGTTGTATAGATCATATATTTTATTGTACAAAAGAGACATATATTGAAAATTGTACTGCATTAACATTTGAAACAAGAATTACCGATCATAAAGCTACAATAGCCTTTCTCCCGTTAAAAGCAAAATATGGTGAAATCAATAAAAAAAATAAAATAAAACAAATAAACTATAAAAATTTAAAACATGAATTTAAAAAATGTAACTGGTCGTCCTACCTCAATATTTTGGATACAGACGAAAAACTATTATATCTAACAAATAGTATAAATAATTTAATAACTAAAAATACTTATACAATCAGAAAAAAGATAATATAATACAAAGAAAAGAATGGATAACTAGTGGTATATTACATTCAATTAAACACAGAAATAAGCTCCATAAAGAACATAGAAACAAGCCAGATAATATTTTTAAAAAAGATGTATATACAACATATAGAAAAAACTTGGACAAATTAATAAAAAAAGCAAAAAGAGACTATTATAGAAAACAAATTATAAAAAATAAAAATAATTCCAAAAATTTATGGAAAGTTATAAATGACATAACTGGGAAAAAACGAGCTAATGCATGCATAAATGAAATACAGAAACTGGAGAAATAACAAATAACCACAGAAAAATATCCAATCTCTTTAATTGTTTTTTCTCCGACATTGGAGAAAAATTAGCACTCCAAATCACACAACCAAACACTCCTTATCCAAAAAGGTATTATGCCCAAGATTCTCTATTCTTGGAACCTGTCTCTGAAGAAGAAAAGGTATTATGCCCAAAATTCTCTATTCTTGGAACCTGTCTCTGAAGAAGAAATAAAGATAATTGTACACTCTTTAAAAAACAAAAAAACTCCAGGGAGAGATGGTATCCAAGCTGAAATAATTAAATATTTGGTAGACGATATTGCGCCACTTCTTGTAGATCTAATAAATACAATTTTTAATTCAGGTAAGTACCCAAGCGGATTAAAAAAAAAACAGTTATTCTGCCTATTCACAAAAAGAGCAAAAAAGGAGTACTAAATAATTATCGGCCTATCTCACTCATTACATTTACAAAAATTTTTGAGAAAACGCTAAAAAATCGAATAACAAAATTTTAAAAAAATACAACATCATGTCTAAATGCCAGTTCGGATTTCAGGAGGGTTTAAGCACAAATGATGCCATCACCACCTTAATTGATAAAATAAATAAGGCAATGTATAATACTAAACCGTCACTCTGCGTTTTTTTGGATCTGACTAAGGCCTTTGATACTGTGAGCCACCCACAATTGCTCAAATCTATCGAAGATACTGGGATACGCGGAGGCTCTCTAGACCTTATAAAAAACTACTTAACAAACAGAGAGCAGGTGGTAAAAATTAATGAACATTTTAGTGATACGAAAATAGTAAAATTCGGTATACCACAAGGTACTGTACTTGGTCCACTTTTATTCTCAATATACTTAAACAATCTCTTTAAAATAAATACAGTATGGAAAATTGTGAGCTTTGCAGACGACACAGCTGTATTCTATGAGGCAAACAGCTGGACCGAATTGAAAGAAATAGCAGAAAATTATATAAAAAATATAATTAACTGGTTTAAACATAAACTGCTTACAGTAAATTATGAAAGAACTTATTTTGTTCCGTTTTGTAGCTACAAAAATTCACTTCCAACTTATAACGCATTACAAATAAACAATGTAACAAACAGTGAAGACATAAAAAAAAGGAACAAATAAAATATCTTGGAGTAAGTATTAACTGTCACTTAAGATGGGATAGCCATATAAATAATACGGTAAATACTCTGAGAGCATTTTTATATAAATTCAAATATTTGAAAACATTTATAGATAGTACTCACTTGCGCATAATTTATTTTAGTTTAGTAGAAACCCGAATAAGATATGGTATAACATCGTGAGGTGCAGCAGATATGACCTATCTAAAAAAACTGGAAATAATACAAAAAAAAAAATAATTAAAGGTATTTACAATAAAAAAAATACTTACCGATCAAATCTATTGTTCCAAGAAACACAATTACTGGATGTTAGACAAATTTTTATTTTTAATATCTTATTATATACCAAAAAAAAATAGAAATGTTTTAAAAGAGATACAACATAAATACATAACAAGAGCAAAAATTCAAAATAATGTACAAATTCATTTATCAAACAAATCTATTGGCCAGAAATCATTAAATTACCTTTGTAGTAAAGTTTTCAATTCACTACCTGATATATACAAAATTTATTTACGGACTATCAACTCAATACATTTGCTTAAAAAAATTATCAAAAATTATTTAATAACATCAGATAGAGAACTTTTGCATATGCTAATCTGTTATATCCTTAATACTTGTAGTATAGTTACTAGATTATATTGGTTGATGTCAGAATAAAAAGAGATATGTCAGATTTTCAATATTAGCTTTCACCTCGTTTTTATTCAAATATTTACGGTTTCAATATTTTGGCGACGAGGATGGGATTGACATGATTTAACAACCTCAAGATAACGTATCAACTACTTCGATTAATCCTAAGGTGCTACTACATCCTTTTGAAAATTTTAATGGTCAGAAAGAAGATTTCAACACTTATCTACAACATTTTGAAAACTATTTAAAACTGAAAAATGTATTCGATGACAAATAGGTTCTTCTACTTACTCAATTTTAACTGCCCTGCTCTAGCTCCTAAGATGCCTAACGATGTCGAATATCCAGATTTGATTAAAACTTTACAAAATCACTTGGGCCCAAAGAAAAATGTTCTTGTATCACAACACAAATTTTTATCTACATTTCAGCTAGAAAATCAATCTATAGCCGAATTCATTACTACGTTGAAGCAAGACACTATCAACTGTGATTTTATTTCATCATGCCATTGCAAGACAAGTATTGCTGATATATTTCTAAGAGCACAATTTATTAGAGGTATACGTGATGATTCAATTCGCGAAAAATTACTTCAATCAAGTGGAACAACTTTTGATGATTTTGTTTCAAAAGCATTAGCTATCGAGGCTTCAAAAATAGACAGTCAAGCTTTATCATCCAACAGTGTTTATAATAACGTTAATAAAATAAATTATTCATCCAGGAAAAATTCACGAAATCAAAACCGTTCGAAATCGTTTGAGAGAAATCGATCCAAGTCAAAGTCAAGGATTGATTTCAAAAATTTAGGAATCGATCACTGTTGTATTAGATGTGGTAAAGACAATCATATGGTAAAAGAATGTAAAACAGACCAGAATAAATTAAAATGTAGAGACTGCGGAAAAACAGGACATGTCTGAAAAGTTTGCATTACAACTTTATTAGCGAACAAAAATAAATCAACGGCAGATACGAATTATATTCAAGATCGACCAGAAGATGAATCAGATATGGAAGAAATGTTTGGTGTCAACAAAATTTTTAATATTTTTGAAAATCGAACAAATACTGATTCAAAGAAATTTTTTGCTACAGTGTTCATCGAAGGAAAACCTCAGAAATTTGAAGTAGATTCAGGGGCAGGATTTACTTTGTTACCAGAATCAAGTTACAATGCATTAAATTTAAACATTAAACTAGAAAGACCAGACATTGCTTTTAGGTCCTATACGAAAAATGTATTTTACCCAATAGGAAAAGCAAATGTTTCTGTTCAATATCAGAATAAATTTTCGAAGGAAGAATTCTATGTTGTTCCAGACAATTTCGAACCTTTATTAGGGCGTATGTGGATTCGGCACCTAAATATCAATCTTCAACAAATTGACACGAATCAGCTTTGTACAACTCCAATGAATGAAAATAAAATAGTGGCTAGATTTCCAAAAATTTTTGAACAGGAAATTGGATTGGTACCAAAGTTTAAAGTCTCATTACAACTACGTCCAAATGCAAAACCAGTTTTTTACAAACATAGAGATATCCCTTACGCTTTGCGAGACAAGGTGGAAAAAGAACTGGATATCCTAGAAGCTGCAGGTATTATATCTAAAGTTGACAATAGCGATTGGGGATCACCCTTAGTTGTAATTCCTAAAGCTGATGGTGGAGTTCGTCTATGTGTAGATTATAAAATTGGAGTTAATGACAGATTATTCTCAGCGAATTATCCAATTAGAAAAATTGAAGATATTTTAAACAGCTTAAAAG